AAGCTTAATTAATAATGCAAGGGTTTGTAAACATAAATTCTAGCAAATATCAATCCAATTTAAGAATAAAAGCATTGACAATCTAAAACTAAATTGTCTTCAATAATGCAACTCAAAATTACTTAGAACTAAATGATCTCAAGCTATTAAATTAAAATAGTAAATGGAAAATCACTTCTTTTTAGTCTTCAATTGTCAACCCAAAGCTATAGTTTCCTCCATATTCTTCTCAAGTTGTCTCCCAAGCAGGACTAGTTTTGGTACTCCTCACAATGATGAGTATCATGATACTCACTACTGTGGTAAAATCTGTACTATTCAAACACAGTTTTAATGGTCTAAATTTAAAATTTTTAACAAATAATTTTCAAACAAAAAATTATTTTTTAGAAACTTACATTTAATAGATTATATTTATTTTGGATTATGTGCCTATTAAAGAAAAATATTTAAAAAACAAGAAAAAAAATTAAATTTCGGTCGTCTATATTAAATTTGAGCAGTTGAGATTAGTCATCATTGCAATGAAAAGCGAAACTAGTTCCCTCTCAAACAAGCACAAGCTTCCATGAAACTCTCCTCTTCAATCTCTTCAATGCAAGGCACGGTCATGGTGATTGTGAATGGAGCATAAAGATGTGTTGATAGAGCCCCTTTTTGTACAAAAAGGAGTTCAAGTACAAATTCCGGGATGTATCGATGGCAAAGAAATTGCATATGGATCCTCCCAGATTTGGGTGGTGATCGTGCTCATTGGTCCAGCTCAACATACGATCGAGCCTAAAGCCCCTTCTTATTTTTTAAAGTATTCATATCCCCTTTTAACACCTTACTAATATGTGATCCTAGAACATACATGATTCCTTTATCATAATAATCTGAACCCAGGCTGCAATCTTTGTTATTTGCTCCTCTTTTGGATCAAAATCCTCCTCCCACGGTTGTACTACTAGGTAGTGATCGTAGATAAGCTAGAGTTGCCCGACATTGATTGTCTCAATGTCTCAATCTCTCTCTGTTCTTCACCCAAAGTTGCTGAAGTTTTGACTCTAGATACTCAACAATAATCATGCGCCCTAATAGTTTAATTAACTATAAGGACATTATATTCTTCCAGCGTTTAGCTAACCTTTTCCTTCTCTTTCGGAGGTATGTCAACATTTGGACTCTTCTTAGTCATCCCCACATGGATCCGCCAGTTCCACCGATCTCCACCCACCAAATAAATAAATTATGAGTATAGGAACTATTCTTCCGATCCTAAATATAAAACTTTTATATACACTATATAAGGGTCTTATATTTAGGATCAGAGGAGTATAACATATATATTTAATTGAGAAAATTATGGAGATCCAATAGAAAAAATCTATGAGGACCTAACTGAAAATAAAGTGAAATTATGATAGGTTTAATATTTTTGTTATTCTTTAAAATTTCATGGCATTTTAGTACATTTTTCTTGAGTTTCATATGCTTTAGCATACTCACACACACACAAACACATGTAAAAACATGTGAGCTTCCTCACAGGACAGGGAGAATTCCATGCCGCTGGATTCAAGAGTCTTTGAAAGCTAATGGACCACTTGAATGAACGATGAAAAGCAAATAATTGGGTCTAACATAAGAGAATTAAAAATAAGTCAAATTATATTTTAAAATTTTATGAGGAGATAGACTTGTTGATATCATCATCAAACCCACAAGAACATTATTTGTGGAACCCTACATCCGATAATGGACAATGCTTTTGGACTTTTAAAATCAGTTTACCTTTAGGGGAACATGAAGCCACATTGTACTCATAATGAACCTATATTTGAAATTTTTATTCCAATTTTTCACACATATCTAAAAATAAGTAGAGTTTGTATTTTCCTTTAAATTTGAACCTGAGAATTCAATTTAAACAGCTCATTTTTTTAATCTTTATTATATATTATAATTTTTAAATGAAATTTTTATCTAAAAACTTAAGAATAAAATAGTCTTAACTATTTCTAAATGGAATATAAGATCTAGATACAACTCTTAATGATGCGCATAGATCCAAGGGCCTTGCTGATCTCTCCTTCAACTAATATGATTCCTTCTATAATCTCTCTAATAATGGAATACTAGATTAATCAATCCCTCGATAAAGGTATATTCTTGCTTATTATGAATTTATTTAATTTTTTATTTGGTCTTTATAATTTAATAATTTTGATTAAATTTCCATAATCTGTAAAATTTTAATGTCCTATTGTGAAAATCGTTCAGACTACTTTTTTTCCATATAGTTGATCTGACATTATATAATAATATCTTTATACTCTGATTATGTGCATATTATTATTATTATTATTATTATTATTATTATTATTATTATTATTATTATTATTAAGATGGTAAAAGAGAACTAAGCTCAATTGTTATATTTGGTAGTTTTTCTGCCCTGCATATGTGCTAAAATATTTTCAAATCTATTCTTATAATAAAAGGGACTAGCCTGAATTTTTATGGCCATAAAATTTAACTACAATTTTAAAAATAAAAAATTAAGTAAAAGTTATAGGAGGCAAAAGTATGATTTTTTTTTCAAAAAAAAAAACTAGCTCAAGTGGTTAAGCTATTGCAGATGAAATACATATAGAGATATATATTATTTATTTCATTGTTATAAAAATATTTATTTTATTATGTCAATGTTATTACATGATAGTACTTGTCTTTGAATTATTTTAATGATTAAAAAATTAACCCGTAAAAAAAATTATTAAAGAATCACAACTAATTTTTTATTTATAAAGTTAATTTTTGTTTTGCATTCCATTGTTATTTGGTTGTTGGCAGCACCACATAGCTTTGCACATGCGTCATGTGTCGTTAGAAAAAATCCACTTAATTAGCAAACAAATGTCTCCCTTCCCAAACTTCTAAGAATGAAACACTGAGCATCTTATAATATAAACTATGTATAAAGGCCATACTTAGGTGATTGAGCTCAACGTCCTCAAAATTAAGACAAAATAATTATCCAATAAAAAACAAAATTATTATGCTTATTCCCTAATTGCAACGGTTCAATATCAATAAAATTGGAGGTTGGAAGAATATGAAGACAGAAGAAACGACGGCGTATGGGGGAAGTGGGCCACACAAATCATTCTCTATCAACAACTGCTAAGTTCCAACACGTCAATGCAATGGAAAAAGGTATAAAAACTAGGCTTTCAAGCATTAATTTTAAAATTAATTATGATAATTATTTTTATTTATGTTCCACAAAACGACAAAATTTTAACCGCCCGTTCTTTCGTATTTCTCCATAATACTTTGTTTTTTCTTCCCTGACTTTTATGGTATCTCCAAGAGAATTTTCAAAGTTGATTTTAGGTATAAAGTTCAACTATGTGAACGATAAATCAATTCTGATATTAGTACGAATTTATAATATATATATATATAGAGAGAGAGAGAGAGAGAGTAAGCTATAATATTGAGTCGTCAATTATATATCCATTTCATTGAGTGAATTTTAGTTCAGACCACCTGTGTTTCTTCGATAAAAATGGAAACATGACTTTTTTTTTGTTGATATTTAATTGAATTGTCTCTTTTTAATATATATGTGAAACAAAATGAACACAAAAACTCTTGGAAGGTAAAAATTGTTTAAAAATACATAATTTTTGTAACATAAAAATTAAATCAAGCCTCAATATTAATCTTTTGCCTCTACAACCAGCAAAAGTTGCAGAATAAAGTTACTTATTAACTAACCTTTTGTTTTTGCCTCAACATATATAACCCCATCGATCTTTGGGGTTTGACTTATTTTAAGTCAACTTTATGAACAAGTACAAACACATATCCCCATTTAGCAGGCATGCATATGTATTTTAATTAAATTTTTTCCCAGTTTTTGGAGGATCTTGTGGCAAGTTACGCTGGGATCGGTTCAAGTTGGATTTTAGTAAATCTTGACCGTCTTATAAAGTTACTAAAGAGAGAAAAATATTTGACTCGGTTATACATATATGTAAAGCTTGCTATAGGGTTCATCATATCATTGATTAACAAAGCGACAAAACTTGAAGATATCTACCAACTTATTTTTGTTACCATGTAAATGGCTCTTGTTCCTTGATCATCTATCTACAATTGAAGTTGAAAATTTTAATCCATAGGGGGTCTTGTAGAATATCTTAAAGTCATGGTTAGGAATAGAATAGTCAAGTAAAAGGGATTCAATATTTCTTAAATATTTTGGCCAAAAAAATATTTCTTAAATAAAATTGTGGTTAAATTTCAACCTTATAAATGAAACAAATGCAAAGAAATTATCTTCACAAAAAATTTTAAATTTGATTTGACATCCAAGATATCATATAGTTACAATAACAAGAAATCTTATCTCATCCATTAGATCAGGCTAGCTACATGGATCACACACTACCACTGTCTTGTGTCAAAATCTTTACATAAATTGTTAACTGAAAAGTCATATTTAATAAGTTCGTGATATTTTTTTAATTTTTCTTTACTCTTTTTAAAAGATTAAATATTATCTGATCTATCATTCTTATCAACTCCTACCGGTCATGTTAAAAAAATTATAGTCATGTTCAACGTTAGGAAATAGATTTGGAACAACCTAAAGCTTGTTAGCAGCCTATAGGTCATGAACCTTCTGACCCTTTGTTATTTGTACACTTACGAGTGGTGGAGTTTTCATAGATCAAAATTCTCATGCATGATTACAAAATGCCAAGATCAGCGACTTGCAAGTTGGATGTATCCATATATTATTATAACACTTTCGATAACACGAAGAAAACTACAAACTGATATGTGTAAATAAAATGAGATAGACTTCACAAGCTTGCGTACCAAACCCTAACACCTATATATATACTGCGATATTATCACTTATGCCCATCTCTTCCCTCTCTCTCTATCTACCTGTAAAAAAACATATATTTTCACATTTTCTCTCTCATTACCACGTTATTATGGCAGGAGCTGAATCAAACAGGCCCATCACAAAGATCAGAAGGTTCATAGGGGTCAGGCAAAGGCCTTCAGGAAGGTGGGTGGCTGAGATCAAAGACTCATCTCAACACGTGAGGCTATGGCTGGGGACCTATGACACCCCGGAGGAAGCGGCTCGGGCTTATGATGAAGCGGCTCGGACCCTGCGTGGCGAAAACGCCCGAACCAACTTCGCACTGCCAGCTAGCCAATCAGCCACGGGTGATCAATCTGGGTCCGAGGCCAAGCATGGGATAAATTTTTCTTCTTTGAAAGCTAAGCTGAGCAAGAATCTTCAGAGTATAATGACCAGATCAGGAAGCGAAACGACGTCGTTCAAAAGTAGAGTGAGTGACCATATCACTTTTGCTAGCATATTTCATCACAAGAGGAGTTTCCTGCCGTACCAAATCTCTTCACTTGGTACAATGAAGAACATGGATTGTATGGTTCAGCCTAGTATTATAGTACCTCCTGCTAAAACTGATAACGATCAGCCTTGCGGTTCTTGGGAAAATTCCTGTGCCTCTGATTGTGGCTGCTCCAATCATGGGGTTGGGCTCCGGCAAACTGCAACGGACTCTGCAGTGTCGGACGGGTCGGATTCTGGGGAGGTTATTAGTACTTTGGGGGATCAAGGGTTTATGGAGCAAGTGATGGGGTGGATCAATAGCAGCCCTGAGGAAGGTTCAAGGAGTAAGAGGCTTAAGGTGTCATCTTCAGTATTTGTGCCTCCAACTTTTAGTGGGTCTCCAAGTTGTGTTAGTGGTAGTTGTGGCTCTCCTTGTTATGGTTATGGTTCTCCATATGTATGAGAGAATTTAGGTCAGATTTTTCATCCGTATATCTTTAAATAATAGAAAGCTGGCCTATTGATAAGCTATAAATGGCTTGTTTTAGATATCTTGTAAAGTATGAGTTTACATTGAAGATGGGAAGCTTATTATTCAACAAGTTTAAGCTCATGAGATAAGATGAGGAATTCATAACTTTGACCAGAGCATGTATATATATGCAGAGGAGGAATTTGACTATGCTTGTGGCAGTTTTAATATAAATATGGAAGTTTTGGTAATAATAAGGGTATTTTACTCCTTTAATTTCACACAAAGTTCTATTTTGGTATATTAATCTCATAAAGTGTATTTTCAATCTTTTAATTTTGAGTTAACAAAAATGTTAACACTGAAATTTTAAATATTGACAAAACATTTCAAAAATCTGACATATTTAATTTAATTTTTAAAATATAGTAATGATTGTTTGAAAAACCATTATTAGAGGATTGAAAAGATACATCATAAAATTAAAAGATCAAATTGAGACCTTGTATGAAATTAGGGTTAGAGTATACGTTTGCCTTACATTAAAAGGGACGCAGTGCGATAGGCCTGATTCTTCTGTGAAACCCTTCTTCTTGTCATTTTTGGCATTTAATTTCTGGTTTTAGGAAGCCTAATTGTTTGCAATTAATAGGGCGTCATTGTCATTGAGTTTCCAACTTATATAATACTACCTTTAGGCCATGTTTGATAGGAGGGATTGATTTTGATGGAATGGGAATGGTAATAGGATTGGGAATGGCAATAGTAATGGGATTGGGAATGGGTTTTTATTTTATGTTTGGTAGGAGTTAATGTGTGGAAGGAATACATGTATTTATTTTATTTATAATAAGATATATAAAATTAAAAGACTATAATACCCCTCGGTATCTTAGAGCTTAGGACTCCAACCTTATACACTCCTCTTCTAATAAAAAGGAAACCGCCTAATCATATATATTGTTTTAAAAATAAATACATTAAATTTTTACTCATTTTACAATAATAAATAAATAAATAATAGATTAAAGAAATGGCTTCCTATCGTATCCCAACAAATTTATATGCAAAAAAAAGTAATAAAAAAAGTCAATGCTTCCTTAAAATTTATCCCGATAAATTATTAATAATTTCTTAAAATTATAAAATTTTTATTAGAAAAAGTTATCACTAGGTCCTTAAAATTATAATTTTCTTAAAATTTAGTAATGTGTTTTGAAATTAATAATATGCAAGATCAAAAGATAAGAAGCAAATGACAGTTTTTACTATAATTTTCTGTAATATAAGTTCAAGTAAGATAATCCATATCTCACTTCAAACAGTTATCAAAATATTTCTATCTGAAACAAAATATTTCAAGTCCATAACAAAATATTCCTGTCTGAAATAAAATATTTCAAGCCTGTAACAAAATATATATTTCGTCTTAGCATTATTGTAATATAGGTATTTGTGTCTTTTATGTGTTTTAGTCCCAGGATTCAAACGCATTACCAGGGGGAAAGGTGGGATTGTATAATCCCACCAATGTGGCATTGCTCAATCCTGGTAATCTTTAATCCCTCCTACCAAACATGACAAAATCACTCAATCCCCCCTCCAATCCCATGCCCTCCCCCTCAATCCCTCCTACCAAACGTGGCCTTAGTTCTTAACATAAATTTTTTAAATTATAAACTAGACATTATATTAAGAACTAGAGGTAGTAGATACCACGTGTCTTTACAAGCTAGTTGAGATGTGGAGGCATACTAAAAATGAAATTTAAGGAAGTTTTAGACAAGGATCTATAAATGAATAATATATCAGTAGGAGGGTTAATTATTGTTGTAGTTTTTTATTACGTGACCTATGGATCTGATCTCGTTTAGTCGAATACTGTTTTATTGTTGCTATTGTTGTTGTTAGCAACGATCTACTGAGAGAAAAATACATATTTTGCCCCTGAAATTTACTCTCTCTCTCTTTTTGGGTCAACCCCTGAAATTTACTTGATTTTGGTAATTTTGTTAATCTCCACTCTCTTCTATAATGAGTCAAATGTCACTAAATTTAAGGAATCCTCTTGATGTATCTGTTTTATATCTATAAAATATCTGCATTTATACTTGAATTTGAGCTAAAATATGATTATTACTTTCTACACTATTCCTCTGCTCATTAATATAAGACCTATTTAAGTAATTTGATTAGATTAAGAAAGTTAGGTAAATTAGTTAATTATAAGAAATGTGACACATTTTTCCTAAAATATCATAATCATCTTTCTTAATACTCTCTTTTTCTCTTCTACTTGATTATGGTTGAGGGAGTATCGCTAAGGGTAATTTAGAAAAAATTGATAAATATGAGAGATCTTATATTTAGAACCAAACCAATTCAACAATTAGGTCTTATATTAAGGATCAGAGGAGTATTATAGAAAAATGAAGTTGTAGCATTTATATTTGTTGAAGTTTGTAATGTTTCAAAAACGCTACATACTTTGCTATGCTTTAAAAATAAGATGTAGAACTTTGTGAAGCGCTGCAGCATGATATAATTTATATATATATATATATATATATATATATATGCATTGGAATCGCAATAGCAAATCTATTTTTTGAAAAAAAAAATATAAACATGTTGTACAATCTTCACGAGAAAGTGCTGCAAAACATGTTTTTTAAAAAATTGATATATACTTTTTTATAACTAAATTTATAATAATTTTATCTATAAATTTCGCTTGTCATTAGTAAAATTCTGTCGCTATTTAGAGCCGGGAATCAGGGCCGGCCCTTCAGGGCTGGCAGGCTTAAAAGGGCCGACCCTCCAGGGCTGAAATTTTAAAAATACCCCAATTTGTTAAGCCCGGCCCTTAAGCTACAGGGCCAGGGCCGGCCCGCGGGCTTTTGGCCCGTTTAAGGAAAATACTATTTTTTTTATATTTATCAATTTTTTTTATAAAAATATAAAATAAACCAATGAAATTATTAATAAAAGACATAAATATGAATAAAATTAAGTCACAAATAAAATATCATCATCATATAAATATTCATCAACATCTAAGAACATCTAAAACATTTATTAACAAGATAACAACATCTAAAAGTTTTATCTATAATGCAATTGTGCAATAAATAAACACTATCATTAATGTTTTAAAACTTCATCATCACTATAATTAATTACTTTTCTTCATAAGTATGCTTTTCTTTCGTAACAAAAATATCAAGTTTTTCTTCTTTATAAGAATTTTATTTTTGAATTTTACAATCTAACTATTATTTTACTTTAATGTGAGAAACATTGTTGTTGAAACTCATGAATTTCTAATTCAAATTATAGAATCACAAGTTATATAAGTATAAAAATATTCTATTATCAAATATATATAATTTAAAAATATTAACGCATATAATATAAATCAAATCATTATTAAAGTCCAAATTAATCGATTTTTTAAAAATTTAATTGGATAAATTATTGTCTAAAACTAAATTTAATTTTAAAATGATAATAATAACTAAATATTTGAAATATTATTAACAATGTAAAAAATTAATAACATTAATATTATATAAAAAAATTTAAAAATAAAAAAAATTATAAAAGGGCTTAAAAGGGCCGGCCCGCTCGGCCCTCCAGGGCCAGCCCTCCAGGGCCAGCCCTCCAGGGCTTGTTTCTCATTTTAAGAGAAAAATATCAAGCCTGACCCTCGTAATTTCAGGGCCTAAATGGGCCGGCCCGATGGGCTCGGCCCGTTTTCCCGGCTCTATCGCTATTTAGTCAAAACAAATTGCAATATAAATGCATAAAAATTATTTTTAATGTTTATTATTAAGACAAAAATACAATGTATGACAATTTTTTAATAGTATATTATATATAAAAATACAAATATCATAAATACAAATAAATATATAATATATAATATTCAAATTATTTTATTAAATCTTTTGAATAATATATTAGTTATTAATAAATTTGTACTAAAATAAGAAAATTAAATAGAATATATCAATTATTTGTATATATTAGTATAATAATATTAATTATTTGTTTTTTTCATACTTGAAATATTATATATATAATTTTGTGTTAAAGATTCATAGGTATTTCCAAACTCATTTGGAAAATGCTTTAGTACACATGCAAGAAATCGAGGGTTCTCGATAACGTGGACAAGAAGGTGACAGGCGGCACATAGTAATGGACATGTGGTGCCTGGCAGTGAGGTGGTGGCTCCCAGAGGGACACGTGACAGTAGCTGGCAATTGCCACATAATATTTTAAATTTATAAAATTAAAAAAATTTGACGACGGATTAGAAACTGCAGCAAATGCAACAGTTCAATGGTGGCTGGAAGAGAAGGAATCATGAGATAGGATGATGGATTCACCACAGCGACATGTTGTGAGCAAAGTGTAAAACAGAGCGGGAATTATTAACAAGTTTGAAGAAAGAAATATATTTATTAAAAAATTTCATAACAAATTGAACAACTTCTAATGTTAAGTTTCAGTGCAAGAAACTGGTAAAAAAAAAAAAAGTTTCAGTGCAAGAAATAATAACAAGTCTCAATTTTTAATAATTATATATATTTTTTGAGACCTCAGTGATTATCCCTTAAAAATAATTCGTCCAATAATAATTTTAAGAATTCCATGAAAAGGCATATATCCTTAAAAATTGGAACGTCCGGTTGCAATTAACATTGAGCTTCCCCACAGATCAGAGCTGAGCTGCCTTGTCTCTTACTGGGCTTTGGCCGCTGCTTCACTGCTTGGAACGGTCAGCTCTTTGAAAACCGAGTGCATTAAAAAATGTTATGCCATGAATAAGGTTAGGCCTAATATAAAAAGTTAGTTTTTCACAGTATAACAAAGTAATATTCAAATTTTTATTAAAAAGATTCTCATATTAAGTGTTCAATAATAAGTCTCAAAAAGAATTACTTCCAACAAAAAGATACACGTGCCTATGTGAAAAAAAAAAA